ATCTTCAATTCGAGAGGAAGATTCGACTCTCCCAATCCTTAACCGGCAGCTAGAGCCCAAGCAAACCTAAGAGAAATCCCAAATCCAACAAAAGATCCCCTAACCCTAATCCTTCTCATCTATTTAAAGAATACAAATATAATTATAATGACTAAACAACCCCTTCCAATAATATAAACAAATGATAATCCTTTAATTATTATCACTTGCATCATTTGCAACATCAATAATTTTTTTTTTGTTGCATCTTTAATTAAAGGCTGCATAAGTTTAAATAAAAATTTTACTTTGTATAATTTTATGGGCAATTAGCTAATTATAACGATCAAACCATTTTAAGAATGCCTATACAACTTATTTACCATGCAAGTATTAAGGATTGGTTAGCACCTCAGCCAGCAGAACTTCTGAGACTATTTATAAGTTTTTGCATATTACTTAGGTGATGGTTTCAGAAATGTGATTTGTGCGGTAAAAAGGATTAAAGTAAAAGCCTAAAACTTATTTTTCAGATATGTTTCAGGCATATTCGTTCCCAAAAAAAAAAAAAAACCAGTAAATTTTGAAGTTTGTAAATTGCAGAGGAACTCCACAATTCATCCTGATCCTTACTGCATTTCCAACTTATGCGGTAGCATACTTTAGCGTAGAGCGATCAATAGTTGGTCATATAAACATTTAAAAAGGACAAAAAAATAATAAAACATTAAGTATAAAAATCTATATTCATTGATTTTAAGAATGCATGCCAATAAGGGAAGGGACAGAGAGAGTAGAACAAAGGACTGCTACATAAAAAAGACAAAAAGACAAACAAGGAAAAAAACTACTTGTAAGATATTCTTCAACATAATAAACTAATAACAAAAATATTTCTAAGTTATTCATTTACAACAAGAATGATTTAAGGAAAATTAATAGTGAAAGAACATAGGAGTAATATAGTAAGTAAAACATAAAGTTCATTAAAGAAACATCCAAATAAAGGAATGAGCTCTTTACAAACAACTAACGAACAAGCTATAAATAATAATAATAATAATAAAAACTAACGAACAAGCTAACATCTAAAAATCCTATAAGTGTAATAACAGGTTCAAGAAGCAGATCCATTCACAAGAATTGCCTTCAAAATGTGGAAAAACATTTGTACGCCACTAAGGTCCATGTCACTCAAACATAAATCTAATAAAAAACGATGTTCCATCCAGTAAGTACTACCAACAAATCTTGAATCCACATGGAAAGAATTAAAATAGGAGATTTACGTACATATCAATGAATTCTTATGTATTTACACGTCTAACACTTAAATTTCTATATTTATTTATATAACACACTATTTTCTGAATCACATTAAAATAACTTATATTGTCTAAAGTAAAATACATCTTTTCAAACATATGTTTTGATGTAATTAGCCACTAGGGTCAGTAGGGTGTTATATTGGTAGACATAAAATTGTGGTGTTAGATAAATAAATGCATAAAAATTCAGTGCTATGTATGTAAATCCCTCCTTAAAAACTAAAGGAAGGAAAGCGTTAAAAAAAATCCAAAAAATAATTCTCCTTTGAGTGAATAAAAAAATCATATAAATTAACACCAAAAAAATAATAAATTTTAAAGAAAACAAAAACAAGGTTCCCAAGTGACTGCTAAAAAAAAATAATACCTTCCTGTGGTCATGATCTCCACATTGAGTCATATCCAAGGTTTAAAATTGCGTAATTAAGCCTCGAGGCGGTCTGAGGCGTAAGCCTCACGAACACAGAATTACGTAAATGAAAAATTAAGGGTTTTAGCAGAAAAATAATAGCAATATTGTATCTTACAATAAAAACATCTAAATGATATATGAAAATAGTGGAAAGTAAGAAAGTATATGCAATAAAATCATATCCCAAAATACAAAATCACAAAATATTAGTTCAACAAAACTCCCAAAGTACAAAAAATCTAAAACCCTAGAATTTCTTTCACTTCAAAAATCTAACCAAAAACTAAAAAAATGCCTAAAATCGTTTGTGGACTTCTCCTACAAGGCGGCCGGACACTTCAAGTTCGCTGGAGAGAGGCGAAGCCGGCGGGAGAGGCGGCGGGAAGGGTGGCCGACCATGCGGGAGGGGCTCTGTTTCGCGAACTGGGGCTTGTGGGCGGAGTTTATCGGGAAATGTCTGGGCCGAACGGGTTAAGGGAAAAAAAAAAGGAGTTATTTTAAGTAAGGTGGGGCCAACGGGTGAGGCGTACGCTCACCCATTATTGCGCAATTGCGCAATTGAGGCGCGCCTCACAAAGGGTGAGGCGTACGCCTCTTCCAGACTCCAAATTGTGTGCGCCTCGAGGCGCCTTTGGGAAGAATTGCGCAAAGGCGCACCTCTCGTTGCGCAATTTTAAACATAGGTCATATCTAATGATTCAAGTCATATTTTAACTAACCTAAATGAAAATCATAATCTTCTCTTGTGGTCTTTCAAGGCTTCAATCATGATTAAGTGCAACCCTAGTTCCAATTGCTAGTAATACATAAGAGAATTGAATTGTCACAATCAGCATAGCTTTCTAAGGGAATCGTGAGTGGCAAAACAAAACTTTTATGTATTACTAGCCAACAACATCCAAATTTTTTATCAACTAAACTAGTTGGCTCTATCAACATATTTTTCAAAACACAACTTTTACTAACTTCAACGCTTTGGGGATATCTATTTGCCAAGCATGCCCCTTATTACTAGAGTTAAATCAGCTCCAACTTAAACTTTCCAACAGATTACCACGAAATCATTCAATATAAGAAAAGTAGGGAAAGAATCCCCCCCAAAAAAAACACATGCATATGTCCATAAATTGAAACACGTTCATTATAACTTCTTTATGCTCAAAATATAAGATGCTGAATGAATACCAAGGTTGTGCAAATAAAAAACACAATCGAAGATCATAAATTAATAATATTAATTTATATTTATTAACTAATGTTTATCTCCTACCCAAATTCTTGAAATCCTCCATGTCGCCAAACACAAAATCATGATAGGAGCTCAGTTTGATGGGGGTGCCGGGGTGGCATCAACGGAAATGGCAACATGTAAAGGAGAAGAGTTCATGACAAATAGTTATATACTACTCAAATTCTCCAAATCCTCAACAATAAAATAGTGACAAGAGCAGAAAAAAAAAAAAGCTAGAAAGTCCCAATGAGCTCTTTGGCAAAAGTAACCCTCTTTTGTGCATTTCTATTCTCTAAATCCCGTAAAACCTCAAAACGCGGGGTTTTAGTAAAATCAGGATTTAAAGAGGAACGGGTCGAAACATGATTTAAAATGACGGTGGATTTATTCCGTAAAAAGTGACCAATTGACAGTATTTAACACACAAAAACAGGATAAATCTGGCTTCGAAAGAGCCCCTTTTAATGTTCTGAATAACATACTTGTCAGCAGCCATATAATACTAGCAGTTGTTAATATTTACGAATTGGCAATAGAATAGGGAACAAAGGTAGCATTTTCTGATAAAGCAATTGATAAGTGATATAACTTATTAAGCAGACGGTGTTCCTCTCCACTAAGCTCTGCTACTCTCTATGATTTTAGCCGTTAGATATCTGACTACTTAATCACAGCCATTCCTCTCTTACAGAATGTTATTTTCTTTACTGATATATAGAACATTGTATATGTTAGAAAGTATTAGTAATCAGATTTTACTATGCTGATCTTCCTCTCTGTAGCTTCTTGAGTTTCGCAGGTTTCATCATGGTATCATAGCATTAGGATAAACTTTTCAGAAAATTTCTTTTATCTGCCTTTCATTTCTTTACTCTTACCATGGCCGACTCATCTTCGGCTTCCTCTTCTATTCACTCGCTTCTTACTACGAGTGAGGCCTCTATTCCTTCTCAACTCAAGTTTGTCATGACTATAGTCAAAAGCATGGTAAATGTTCAGCTTACTATAGACAATCACCCAATATGGAAGACTCAAATCCTCAAGCTATTCAATGCTAATGGTTTCGAAGGCTACTTAAATGGTGCCATTTCCAAACCAATCAAACAACCACTGAACTCCGACGGTACCATTGCTCCTAACCCTCACTTTCACACATGGACGCTCATGGATCAAAATCTCACAGTTGCGCAGTATTCTACCATTGCAACTTCCATGTTACCGTATGTCCTTAATCTTGATTCATGTTATGATATCTGGACTACGATTGATTGTCAAATAGGTCCCGCCTTCTACAACTTAAAAATGAGCTACACCAGGTGAAATGAAGGATCATCCTTCAGACAATGGTTCAATACCTCTCAGAAAATAAAAAGAAAGTTAATGCTATAGCAGTTGCAGGTACTAACAATCGATATATCCTCACTTCTTCTGCTCATAATTCGAATAGAGAACACAAAAGTTCCACTAGAAGCTAACAGATAAATGGAAATTAAGTACGGCACTGACGCTAGGACTTACCTCTATATTTGCCAAAAAGTCCTAGTCTCATGATGCATCCATGTCAAACCAGAAAGATACAAAAGCATATACCATATCCAATACAATAAAAATATAAGAAAAGTTGCTGCTAAGTGCCTATGTATGAATTATTGACCCCATACAAGTACAAACCAAACAAAAATGCATCAGGCAAGCAGATCAAGCCAGAAACACAAAACGTTCACAAAAACGCCAAAACAACAAAAATGAACAAAAACTACATCAGGATCGACACCGTTTCTAAAAGCAGAATTAATCATACGAGCAATAAGCGGACCTAATCCTTTCCGAATAAATGATTTCATAATCATAAATACCGAAGAAAAGCCAAAGCATCTGAGAACCCTTACGTTGAGCCCCTGTCAGAATCAGATCCAGCTAAGCGAACGAAAAACAAATATCAGACCGCGTCTACTTAAACCTACATCTCAAACACAGAAGGAAGAAATCCGAATCCAGACGAAACACAAATACAAGAGAAGTTACGACGACGGAATAAAGGATTCCTCACCGTCTCCATCCTTGTCGAAGAGGCTGAAAGCCTCCTTGAACTCGGAGATCTGATCATCTGTAAGCTGCTCCGCCATATCAACCCTCGCCGATTTAAAAAAAAAGGGAATGAGAGAGGAGAAATGAGCGACCCTATGGTCTGTGCCCTCGCCGAACTAGGGAAGTTGCGATCCGCATTTTATAGTAGCAGACTCTAATCCGCATGCGACGCCCGAAGTCGCTTTTCGCAATTTATCCTCAACCTTCATAATAATAACAGTTATGCCTCTTATACGTAATCGTACTGCAGATTTCTCGCATGATTTTTATTTTTTATTTTTTTATTTATTAGTTCGATTAAAACTACTTAAATTACATCTTTTTTAACGTCTAAGAATATTATTTATACATTCAGAAATTTTAATCCCGGCTTAAATTTTTTATTAAAATGATAATTAAAATTTAAGATTTATTTGAGAATTTTGTGATTATGACTAAAAGTCGTCGTATAATTATTATAAAAAAATAAATTATTTTGAAGTTATTGTAATTTTGTTTTTTTTTTTTTCACAAATGTCTTGTGACTATAAGTTTGTAATGATTTGGTAAAAAAAGCTATTTCTCATTATAATTTTTTTTTAAATAACAAAAGTTACAGAAAATTTATGATAATATTTTGAAAATTACAGCTATGAAAAATATTTAAAAATTTTCAAAATGACACTGAAAAATTAAAAAAAAAAAACTATTTATTTGAAAAATGTTACATTTGACCTCTAAGTAGAGCTTTAAGATTTAAACTCATACTTATTGTGGATTGATAAATTTGTGGTAGTAGAGAGAAATTTTCGTCTTAGTAATGCATGAATATCTAATACACAAATAGATAGTTGAAAGAGTAAGAGAATACTAGAAAAAATTTAACATGGAAAACGCATAAAGGAAAAAAATTGCAGGACCTTATCTATGATAAGAGATTCCACTATACTTAAGTGAGTTACAAAGGTTGACTCATCCCTTAACTTTGGAGATGATAAAATTGCAATAGTTTGAAGAGTCAATCAGACTTCATACGGATACTCGAATATTTATAATGTCATGGATGGACAACGAAAGTTGGAACTCTAGTAGCAGCGATTGAAAGAAGGTCCAACATGAAAGTTCGTGAGGGTTGTTAAACTTTTATGAACTAACTTGAAGCAAACCAAGAGGGGTGAATTGGTTATTTAAAAAAATTAAGACAAATAAAATTTTTTTGAAGTCTTTTTTAATATTTTAAAACAAACAATTTATGCGAAAGCAACACTAATTTCATAATAACAAAAATTAGAGATTTTGACCACAAAACAAATGACTGAATAATACAAAAATTAAATGTGAAAAGTAAATAGAAAGAACACATCAGATTTGTAGTGGTTCGGTTAACTTAACTTACGTCCACTCCTCGAAAACCTCCTTTATAAGTATTGCACTAAAAGTAGTGTATCTCCTTTTGCCCCGACAATAAGTTAAAGAAGTCCTTACAAAATTTTTCCTCCGACCCAGTGAGGCAAAGTACCTTGAATGCTTTTACTCCCTCCTGGAGTAGACAGAAAACTTGAAAATTCTTAATTTTACTCCTTCCTAAAATAGGCAAAGAACCTTGGATCTAATGCTGATGAAAGTCTCCCTATAGGCACTAAGGAACTAAGGAAGAAGCTTGACGAAGATGGTGGAAACCTTATGTGGAGCAACATTAGTGAATCCCTCATAACTTCCCCTCATAGGGATCTCACTATTTTAAAGCCCTTTCTCTTCCTTCTCTAAGCTCCTTCTCAGATCAACCCAACAACAAAAGATTAACTCTAAGATAATATGAGAGCTATCAAAAAAGCCCTAATTTTTAATCTAGCGGCACTAATCATCCTATAAAATTAGTTTGAAATATCCCTTTCAGCCAATACAAATTGCATTGCCCTGTATGACTAGTTTAGGAGAAATAGACGAAACGTCCTAGACAATTATAATATCATCCTAGACGATTAGTATAAAACTATTGAACTTCGTCCAGTACAATACCGGTGATGCCTTATCGTCCCACAAAATTCTCTATCGTCTAGTACAAAATGGGTCAATCATCCTAGACGATTAGTTAAAAATTATGGTATTCATCTGGTACAATATGTGGCAATCCCTTATCATCCCATGCATGTTCTCTATCGTCCAGGACGATCGTCACCGATCATCTTATACGATCGGATTGAATTAAATTTTAGGCATGCTTATCCTCTATCATCCAGGATGATTCAAATCGTTGTGTACGAAATGTAAAATTTTGAAATTTAAAATATTGCCTAAATTGTGATTGGCGGCTGTTTTCATAATCTGAATTGATTGTGCTATATGATATGGATCATACAGTACGATTAATTTAATCACTCTTAATTAACAGGATGTCATAATTTGAGTTTTTTGTTTTTAATTGATCATCCAGTACAATCAAAATTGTCATGTACGATTAGGTCAAATTTTTTAAAAAATTTCTAACTCACCAACTCACTCCCTTAAGTATGTGTGTGTGCAAGATTACTTAGCTTAGGATCCATCAGATACATGACTTGACTCAAGAAAGGAAAAAAATATATTAAAATTGAAATTATAGATAGACTCAACCCTAGTCTACCTGATATTGAGCTAATTTATATTGCAAATGAATTTGTAAACCTGAAAGGTTAGTATGCATGCCAAACAAAATAGATATACAATAAAAGCAATAGAAAATAAATAATAATATTTGTTATCATCAAAATCACAGCACTTGGGCCCAGATTTGCAACACAGTAAAGTTCAACCGATTGGAGGTTCGATGGCCTAGCGGAGGTCTGGCATTGGTCTGTGGTGGGATCTAGGTCTGGTGACAGTGGGTGGCCTAACATAGGTCTAGAAGTAGTGGGCAGTTGGGCAGAGATTCAGTGTTAGATGATGGCCGAGCGAAGATTCGGTGGAGGCAAAGCAGATATCTAGCAGTAATCGGGCGAAGGTCTAGTGCCAGTTGGTAGTCGGGTGGCAGTCAATAACTGGACAGAGGTTCTGTAGCCGTCAGCTTCTAGGTGGAGATCCAATAGCAGTCAGAGCTTTGGTGGGGTCGATGATCGGGACAAGGTCGGCGGGGGGCGGTGGTCTGGTAGCAGTCAAATAGATGGAAGGAGTTCCAGTGGTCGTAAAGCAGATGGAAGGAGGTTCGCCGGCAATTGGGCAAACATAAGGGGTCCAATGGCGACTGGCTGATAAAAGTTTGTCTGTGTCGGAACTCTAGAATCCTTGAAGCCTCGAAGCTCTCTCCAATCTCTAAATAGTCCCCCTCATACAAGATGTGAGGCTTATTTATATATTTTTTGAGTGGCATGCTCCATAAATATAGAAAAAAATCTAGGAAAAATTTGGAGTGCTTCATCAGATGACCTGTATTTTTCCTTTAAATCTAGGGAAAATTTGGAGTGATTCAATCACGAGAATCAATTTTGATATTAGCATCACCAATTTCTAGGCAGTTTCTCATCTTCTTTCAAATCCCCTCAGGTGTTTTGACCATCTCCTCCAGTATTGGGAACATTACCTTACCTCCTAAGCAACGCCTTTAAGTTTCATATCCTTGCAAATCAAGTCTTGCTTGGCTAGCCAATTCCATTGATGATAACCTGACAAAAACAAACTGTCTTCTAATCAACACCTCTTGTAGCATTCTTCTACTTCTTAAGTTTTGTTTGAAATAATTTTTTTATTGCTTTTTAAAGCAGAGTTTATTTTAGTACAAAATTAAAATTTTTATACAAAAACTCTATTTTAAGAAGCAATAAAAAAGTCGTTTCAAACGAAGCTTTAATCAATAGATCATTCCGAGACACTGCCGACCATATTCAAGGCAACGGATGTGTGTTCACCATCAAACTATCTCAGCATTCACTACAAAAAAAAGTATTTTTCGCATCAGTTTTTTCTAGCGGTTTTGAAATTGTTGCCAAATCAATTCTTTAGCACCGATTTTAACCGGTCCAATTAACACCCCAAAATGATGCCCTTTACTTAAATTATCCGAATCCCTAATTCCTCTGTTTCGTGACATAAACTCTCACGGGAGATCGAGGCTTCTGGAGCGAACGCCAAGCAACAATTTTTATTGCGAAGGCATGCTTGTAACTGTTTTTATTATTATTTTTTTATTTCCAGAATTGCAGCGGTTATTACCGCTGCTATGGACTCATAGTAAAAGTTTAATAGCGGTTATAACTGCTGCTAAAGATCCATTCCCAAATTACAGGTGCAAAATCACAGTAGTTATAATCGTTGCTAAAAATTCATTCCCATAAAATTACAACGGTTATAACCACTGCTAAAACTTCCTCTAAGGCAGCGGTTTAAATAGCGCTGCGGAAGCCATTTGCAACGATAACAAATACGGCAAATGTGCAGCAGTTTTGAAACCGTTGCAAATTAAATAGCAGGTGTTTTAACCGCTGTAGGATAGAAAAAGTGCTGTGAAAGCCTATTTTATTAGTAGTGATATTAGTTGGCTCTCTAACTAATGGGCCTCACTGACTCGTCTCCATTGATTGCCCCATGACAGTCTGTAAAAAAAAAATTTACATGCCTTTAGATATTTATTCCTTATGAGGTTGCAGAGAATTTAAACTATTAAGACCAGACTCATGTCAATAGAACACTTCCTTCTATTCAATCTCCTCTGTTGTGTCCTTATGCTGTTAGGCTCTGCATGGAGTTGTAAGGTGAACCTTCTTTATCTTTATACACTATTTTTCCTTTCATGATATGTATAAATTAATTTTACTTGTTCTACATGAATATTGATGTAATATTTACATTACAAATTTTTTTAAAAAAATTTGAATATTTTAAACTTTGAATCCAACAAACGTAAAGTCAAATTAAGCGTGATCTAACGACACCAAAAGTAATCTAATCTAAGTCCAGATGAGCTCAAATTAGGCAATTAAATTAAAATAAAAAAACTTTAGAAAATCAATTGACGGATCAAATAATATTCAATTTTTGTATATTTATAATCAAATCAAGCAACTCAATGAGATGAATCCAATAAATTTTTTTTTTTAAATTTAGAATATTTTTAACTTTGATTTCAACAAATATAAAGTCAAATTGAGTGTGATCTAACGACACCAAAAGTAATCTAATCTAAGTCCAGATGAGCTCAAATTAGGCAATTAAATTAAAATAAAAAAACTTTAGAAAATCAATTGACGGATTAAATAATCTTTAATTTTTGTATATATATAGTCAAATCAAGCAACTCAATGAGATGAATCCAATAAAGTAAATATCACTAGATTTTAGGGTCATTAATGGACTTAATGCTAAATGAACAATCTATAATTAAATGATTCAATGTGAGTTGTTCGATGGCGTGCCATGCAAATTTGTCTGACTTTACCAAAATCCTCTTACTAAAATACAATAAATAGATCTCCATGTTCAACATGAAAGGGACATAAATTGAATTTGGAGAGATCTAGGAGATTGTAAGAACTTTATAGCTTTACTTGACATTTGACGAGGATAACTGTTGTTAACTATCATTATCGCTTGATTATTATCATCTAACTGCCGTCTTCTGATCGTCATCGTCTGATCACCATCAGCCACTCATCATAATCTATTCATTATTATTCAACTATCATCATCTGACTACTTTCATCAAACTCTCATCGTCCTACCAATATTATCTCCTAATTGTCACCCAATTAGTACCATACGGCTATTGCGTCTCCAACATCATCGATCTTTTTTTTTAATCTTATTTGAGCTAATATCGATCATGAAAGGCTTTAAATAAGTATTTTATTATTTGAGGTAGGACCGTAGGAGCACTTTGATCTTAAATAAATTTTATTTTTCAAATAAAATAAATAATAATATATTTCTCAAAATCACAATATTAAAAGTCGCTTGTCTTAATTACATGAGAGAATATGGTAGTGGCAACTTCAACGTGGGTAAAAAAAAAGAATGTTCCTTATAAAAAACGAGAAAAGAAGTCGTCTTCTAAGCATCTTCTCCAATTGATCTCCACGTCGCACTCTTTGCTGTCGGTGGAGGAGAGAGAAACTGATAAAGAAATGGAGGACGTGAGGGTTAAAGACGAGGCTCTCCGTCTCATCGGCCTCTTCGAAGTTCTCCCGCGCTTGGTCGTCTTCGATCTCGATTACACCCTATGGCCTTTCTACAAGTGAGCAGTTCCGCTCATTGTCGATCGTCAAATACGTCTTTATCTCTTCTGCTGTGCTTTAGCTTGGCTTAGAGCCCGATTTGGCTAGCCTGAGTTGTTTTTCGATCGTGATATACCGTTCGATGTTTGCCTGAGAAGATTTTCATAATCTTGGGAATTTACTTGGCATTGGTTCTTTCTATTATCATTACTTATTGGATTCTATTTGATGATCTAATCACCAATCACTCGACCTTTATTTATGGTTTAATTAATGGCTTAGTTATCAATTGATGATAATTTTAACCGATGACCTAATCACCAATCACATTGTTTAGGTTTACTTGAAAATCCAAAAATAATCAGAAAATGACTCGGTTCGTCGTATTATTTATTATTAGTTAGGGCCAAACAATGTGTCATGCTAGCATTTTTGCTTCGTCGCTCGTTCTGATTTCATGTATTCCTCATTTCTCTCTTCGGTTGTTCTTTTGCTCAATCGCTGCCTTCACCTTGCTGACGTTACCATCTCCTCATTGCTGCCTCCAAAGAACTAGATCTCCTGGTCACCATCTTTAGAGAACTCCCCAACCCATAAATTTGTTATTTGTTTGTCTCTATTTGCTTATTTAGCAATTTAGGGTTTTTTAGTATTCATGTTTTTCGAACTTTGAAGGAATCGAAGGAAATCCTTCTAGTGATTTATTTAGACATTTTCGTAAGTTGATGTATTGTTTAAGGTTTTTTCAGTTTAGGATTTTTAATGGATCTCTTCTAGCTTTAAGTTTAAGGTTTTTTTTAGTTTAGCGTTTCTTTAGTTTATCACAGCATGTCATTAACAAGTTTATGGTTTTTTAGTTTAGGATTTTTGATGGATCTCTCATAGTTTTTCAGTTTAGGATTTTTCAGTTTAGGATTTTTCAGTATTTGGTTTTTTCAGTTGTTATAGTATGCCATTAACAAGTTTATGATTTTTTTAGCTTTTAGTTTATTTTTGTTTATGATTTTTCAGCTTAGGATTTTCTTAGTATGCTATTAGTATATTTAATTGTTCATCACTAAACTGAAAAATCCTAAATTGCCATTTTTGATTTTTTTAGTTTATCACATATGCCGTCTGGATAGGAAGCTTAAAATTTTTGATGATAATGAGCATTACTTTTATGTCAATGATTAACAAGTGATTGCTTTACTTAATCCAATGCCTTTTAATATTTATTATTATTATTATTATTATTTATTTTTTCTTTTATTTTTTTATTGCAATATTTATTTAACTTACGTGCTGATAGTTACGATAAGGGTATGATTTTTTCCCATCAAACAATGTTCTTTTTTATCAGGTAATATAATACAATGCATATCTTAAAAAAAAATAATGAATGTTTGCTCTTCTATTTTCATCTTATTAGAAAAAAAATTGAGCCTAACATTTTGTTTTATCATCTTCAAAGCCAGGAAATCAATAATAATATCCAAAGTGGCAAATAACTAGCTGTGTAGAGTTCGTATGGTGTTAAAATTTTTGAATCTTTGATTGTTATTGTATTTCATTTTTACGTTTAAGAAATTTTCTTGTATACTTTTTTAAAATTTTGTTTAATTACTTGGCTTGATGGAAGTTTCTAATACCATTATTGAGATTTTTGCTTTTTAATTGTATTTAATTTTGTTTGTTAGAAGCAGGATTCTAATACTATTATTGAAAGTACTCATTTTGATGAAAATATGCAAGTTGGCAGTGGTGATAATACAATTGAAATAGATAATGATAAATGTAATGATTCTGATATTTGTGATGTTGATGACAAAAAAATGGATGGGGGAAGAGTTCTCAAGAAAAGAAGAAGGACGAGTTCAACTCTTTAGAGTCATTATGAGATATTACCCATTGCTAGTGATGAAAAACAATGATGTAAATATAAAAAATATTGCACAATATATTAATGTGACAACAAGAATAACACTGACAATCTAAGATGCCAAAATTATAATAAAAGATATACTCGTGTTATATGACAGCTTATTTTATTGAATTCCAGCTCATCTATTTCTATTGTCTGATAGCATGCTTGACTATCATGAGTTTCGTGATTTATTTATTGCTTGTATTATTATGCATGATCTACCATTTCAATGTGTTGAATGGGTTGGTATATGAGCATTACTATATTATCTTGATTTAAAAAGAGATTTGAGGCAAAATGTTCCAACTAGATGGAACTCAACTTTTTTTATGCTTGATGCAACTATTTAATGTTGACTTGTTTTTATTCATTTAGAGTTGGTTGACTCTAACTACAAAGTCTATCCTACTAGCATTGAGTGAGACAAGTTGGAGATTATTTATAAGCTCTTAGCTTCTTTTAATGAGATAACTTGTGCATTCTTGGACAAAATATCCAACTACAATTATCTACTTTCATTGTGTCTTTATTGCTTATGCTGTTTTGAAATATGAAATGCTAGTGAGCTTAACTACATTAAATAAATGGTTACAAGCAGACTTTACAAATTTGAAGAGTATTGGTCAGATTCTATGACATCTTGACAATAGTTGTCATTTTGAATCCTAGATACAAATTCACTTTTATTGAGTGGTGTTATTAAAAGTTATATTGCGGTGATTATCTTCTTGAAACTAGAAATGTTAAGGATAAGTTGTTTGCATGATTTAAAAACTATTCTAAAGTTGAAAAATATTATTCAAAGGGGCAGTCATCAGTGCCAACACAAAGATCTCAAAATGATAATTTAAAGAGTATTTCTTCCATAATTATTGAATCAGAGTTTCTACCAATACTTTTTTTTATGCATGTAATTATGTGGTTGGGAATATGTTGTATTTTTCAGTGGCTACTCTTTTTTTCTAACCCGTAAAATATACGTTGAACTTCACAATTAGGATTTTGATTCTTTTGAGGAGAAAATTACATTGCCTACGAAGTTAGAGCTTGAAATATATCTTTACGAATTAAAAATTGATAGAAAAGAGTTAGATATCTTATATTTCTAAAACTACAACAAGTACAATTTTCTGAAGTGACAACTATTGCTTGAGATATTTTGTGTATTCCTATTTCTATAGTACTTTCTGAAAGTGCATTCAATTTTCTTTAGTAGTTTCTGAAAGTGCATTCAGTAATAGTGGAGTTTGGATCAGTATCAAAGTGCTTCAAAATATGACATTATCAAAACATTAGTTTGTGCTAAGGATTTGTTATATTGAGAATAGGGTAAACCATCAATGAACTTGAAATATCATTTTAATGCATATATTTTGACAAACTATTTGTAGTATCTTTTTTTTTTTTGTATAAACTTAAATGTTGAATAAAATGCAAGGGAAGAGTGATAGTTCAATCAATAGAGTAGTGTAGTTAATCTTTGGGAGGAATTTCTTATGCACTTGTTTAGGAACATGAACTTGTTTGTTGTTTAGAGAATATGAACTTGTTGGCTGTGCATTTATCTTAATTCTTTATGTTTCTAAGATTATGTTTATGAATTATGATAGTTGAGGGAGGTCTCAATATGATTGATTTGGTTGCTTATATTTTTTATTTCAATTTTTGACTTTCAGTCATTTTTAGTTTTTTTTTGTTGCTAATATCCTTTTATTTATTTATTGATATTCTTTAACATGCTGAATGTGTATGAAAATAATTGTTATTCAATGTATAATCATTTGGGTTTGGTGCTTATGGTTGATGCCTTGATGGGTAACGAGTACAATCCATATGAATTTGGGTTCTTTAAAATATTTTTGGTCTTTTGGAGTTTGGAATTCTTTTGTTTATTTCTCGTTGTTCAGCTAGTTGGTCGCTTGGGCATCTCAAAAGATTGGCTGTATAGAGAACAGAGTGCAAATGCAATATTATTTAATTTAAAAAACTTATATTTATATATCAAATCAAGTTGTTAAAAGCTTAAACTTATCTTTTTATTTTTGCATATGTTAATGATATAAAAATTGAAGCTGTCACTGATAATATCTTGAGCTTTGTTACTTGGATGCTGAATTATTTTATTTGTTGTGATTTCCGGCTGGTGTATTACTGCGGGCATGATGTGTTGTGGTTTGATTTTGTAGCACTCATATTTGCTATCATAGTTCTCTATTTGCCGCATTCCTAGATTCTGCTATCTTCTATTCTCTGTTATGGCTGCTGTTGGTTTTCTCGCATTACTTTAGTTTGCTTGATTTTGATATTATCAATGAGAAATAGACATTCAGTTGCTATATATTCTAGTGAGAAGTAGATGTTATCATTTCAATGGTAATTTATTATAATTTTTTTCTTACAATTATTTCAATAATATAAACTGCTGCTTTTAGTTTTGGACCTGTTATTGTTGAATTCTGCTATTTTTTGATAGTTCTGGTTGCTGAATCCTGCTGTATGTTGTTATATGTAGTTGCTGAATTATACTTTTTGGTGCAATATGTGGTGCAGTTTTTTTTTTTCTGTTTGTGCAATTTCTCCTGTTCAGTCTTGGTATTGTGGTTCTTGTGGAGTAGTTTATTCTAATGGAGAATCTCTTTTGCTACTCACGATTTTTTTTTTTGGAGCAGTGATGAGAAATCATCTAAAATGAAACCATTTTGTGCAAGTACAACCATGAGGCATTTGTGTTCTATTTGACTAAGCAAATACCATCTAATTGAGCAAATTCTAACGGAGTAAATACAAATTGCTGCCTTTTGATGGAAATATTTTCTGACATTTTATTAGTTCATATATATTTTGGAGAATTAATCTGAGTTTTATATTTTAATTTTTACGAATTCATTTTTTAGAATTTTAGCTGTTAGTTTTTTTTAACTGATTCAACCTTATTTTTGCAATTGAATATGTTTAAAGACAAATTTAACAAGAGTTATGGGGTAACTAATAAGTGTAAATAATGCATTATTTTATGCGTTATATTTTAATTAAAAAGATGTTTTAGTTGTGTTGTGTAGGAAAAATATAAAAAAGGCACAAAATTTTGTCTCATCTAACGCTGCGGCGTCAGACAAAGTAACGCCGCAGCACCTTAAAAGGAACCGCCGAAGCTCTATAACATTGACATTGCGGTGCCAACTTCTCTGTTGGATAGCGTCGCAACGCCAAATGGTCGGCTTTGCAGCGTCATGCTTACTGTCTTCAAGCACCCCAACATCACAATCTATCACGCCTTGGTGCCATTATTTTCATCTTGGTGCCACAGCGTTGGAAAGTCAGCAGCGTAGCAGTTGTAGCTTCCTAAGGTCACGATTTGTCAGCGAAACGATGCGACTGTTCACTAAGTAAATGATCCACATCAGCAAGCGCTGCAACAAAACTAAAACAGTAGCGCAATGGCATTAATTCATTTGTTGTGGCAACTGTGCCGACCTTTCAAGCGCCGCAGTGCCAGTTTCCTACTTTATGTTTTCTTATAAATAGTTATGTGTTATGTTTGTAGGAGAGTTCAATCACTTATATAATTTTAGTATTACATATCTTTTAGAGTCAAATCTAAGAGAGACTAGGAAAGTACTAGATACAATTATTAGAGCATTTAGTCAGTATTTTTTTAAAGAATTTTGTTCGTTAAGGAAGAAAGAATGTAAAGGATATATATTGATCCTTTATGGTGATATCATTTTCTTATATTTTCATTCTTTTAGTTTTCAATGGAAATGAGTTTGCTTATCTCTTCTTTCATGTCTAGCTAATTCTTTAGTTTTGGATTGATGATATAGAGAACATATTAAGTACTAATAGAAATTATTGTGCTCTAAACTTAAAAGATGTTTTCAATATTATCCCACTCTTTATTTAATGCATATAGTGTCCATATGTGTAGTTAAAATTTAGTGTGATGCATAACCTCAACGGAGGAATGCAAGAACAACCAGGAATATTGAAATATTATGTTTGCATATCTTGACATAAGATGTAAATTATGCTACATTTTTAAGGAGATAATATAACTGTAGGAGGTTAGCATATATCATTTTCATCCTTACAAGTTCGATAAAGATTTAGGGCTGTATATTTTCTGAATCACATAATAAGAATTTCATTAAGAAAGATATGCAATTTATATTCATCATTCCAAAATACTTTATTTATATATTGTATCCATAATTTAACTATTTTTATTTAGTGATTGAATCTCCATAACAAAAAAATTTATTTTAGTAGAATAATTTTGCAATTAGAGTAAGCATTAGTAGTTGATTGCTGAAAAGTATACTTCCTTATGAGTTCGATACTATATTCTATCACTTTATTACTTGATTCAACACATATACTTGTGTACATTAAGTGAGATTTATTATTTTTATATCAAAGAAAACCTAAGCATTGTTTAGGGGAGATAGAGCCCTAAGCATTTTTATAATTCAAAATTACACTCCACCGTAGCACCCACTATCAACAGCAAAGCGACAAAGCTTAATAGTTTATAATTAAATCAATTAATTTTATATTTGTAAAAGTATATTTGTAGATTATAATTTGTATTGGTAATTGTATGTATAGCTTATACGGTAGTTGAGTTAGTTAAATATTTCAATTTAGCATTTAAATTGACTTAAATTTTTATATGTTTAAAAATATTAGTAAAGTATTTATGTAGATTATATATTTTGGCAAATTAATATTGATTTTTTCTTGTAAATATTATAATTTGAATTAGCCAACTTAAAGCTATAGGGTCGGCGGGTCATGTCGAGCCGGATCATGTCAGAGGCGGGTTTGGTTCGGGTCTAAGTTTTTGACCCATTGTATTAATCGGGTTAGGTGAGTTGAAGGTGGGTTAGTTTTAGGTTGGACTCGAATAAAACCTATTTTGTCAAGTAAGTAATTAAGTAGGAGCAAATTTTGTTTGGGTCATTCTAATGTTTGCTAGTAGGTTTTGCAGTTGGTCGGGTTTTATAGGTGTTGTTAGATGCTAGTAAGTACTAGGGCGTCAAAATGGTTTTTCGGATAGGCTTCAAGTCTAACCCGAAACTCACCTGACCCAAACGTAACTCGATTTGTGAAACATGTCATAAAACCTGACTCGAACCCAACCTAACACGACTTGCTGACCAGCCGATCCGCCGACTTGTATTGCATTGAATTTTTTTTTTTGGCTAATTCACATAGTAATACTTATAAAAAAGTAGCATTAATTTGCCAAGAAAATATAATTTACATAAATATTTTTTTATTATTTTGAAACATACAAAACTTCAAGTCAATTGAAATATGTAATTGATTTAACTACTATTATAAGTTGAACATACAATTATCAATACAAAATATAATCTACACATACTTTTACAAATCTAAAATTAAGTTATTTAACTGTAAGTTCTTAAGTTTTGTCGCTTTGCTCCCCCATACTTCTTGGTGAATTTGTCTTTGAACAGATTCAATTGTCAAAAAAAAGTTAGACCAGTCAAGAAAATAATAACTAAAATTCTAAAAATTATGATTTTGCAAAAAATTAAAATATATGCCTCAATAGCTCTAAAAAATCCAACAACTAATAAAATATCAGTGAATATTGCCATCCAAGGTGATAAAATTCAGTGAATAATAGGTAAAATTCCAAATTTTTTTAAGCTTCCTATCCGATATATATGACAACACACTGATAAATTGAAAAAATCAATGACAGTTTATGATTTTTTTGTTCAGCGAAAAATAATTAAACATACTAATAGTATACTGAAAAAATACTAAGCTGAAAAATCCTAAATTAAAATAAACCCCAAGCTGAAAAAAATCCTAAATTTGTTAATGGCATGCAGTAACAACTGAAAAAATAAAAAACTGAAAAACTAGAAGAGATCAATCAAAAACCCTAAACTTGTTAATGACATATTGTGATAAACTGTAAAAATCCTAAACTTAAAAACAAGAAGAGATTCATAAAAAAATCTAGTAACAACGAAGGAAGGTTTTCATCAATGGAAAATTGATTTAGAGGGGTGGAGTAGATAAGGAAGCTCATGGGGATGCAATCCCAAAATCAACCGGTGTTTCTGATTGCTAACCCTAACCCAAAATCGATCGGGATTCCCTTGGTTGAATCTAAGGGAAAAGAGATCGAACGTAAGGAGTTCGACGAGGAGAGTTTACTTCATAAAGAACCACCTCTTAGGTCTCTGATAATGGGCAGGGGGGGGGGGGTAACATCAAGAAAGGAGTTTTATGGTAGAGGTGGTGGAGTGGCCGACCACCATGCGAGGCCTTTTGAGCAAGAGGAGTGGACGACCGGAGGAGGGGGATGCGCCGATTCATGGATATCCGGTCATGCGAGGTGAATGGAAGAAATGTTCGTTTCCAACCCTCGATACAAGGGGGGAACCAATGGCGGAAGAGATAGTTTGGGTCTTACACCTATAAATCCACCCGTATATAGCAAAATATAACTCCATCCTATAAATTCACATGTGAGCATTTACTCCCTAAAAAACCGGCATCTTCAACTTTCTCACCCTAGGATTGCCACCACCCCAATAGCTTCTTCCATATCTAGTGTAGCTGGTCTTGTGATCCCTCCATATTTCCCTCTCCCCCAAATCAGCTCTCCTATCTTCATCATTCTAATTTCTTTGCCATCCATGCCCTTAACCCATTCCTCCCTCCTTGGAAATGGCTTCAAAGGTGGCATCTCCTTTTCTTTCATCAAAATTTTCACCTCCCGATCCTCCCTCATAATACCTATATTAGGGTTTCCCCCACTTCCTTGTCCGGTCAATGATGCCCTTGCCCTCCGATGATGCAGTTTTGGCTTGAAACTATAAAATTCTTTTCATCATCTCTTCCAGATTCAAAAATTTGCCTTCAATTGCTAAAATTTGTTATCCAAATTCATATTTCAGTTTTCCAACTTTCCCATCAAGCTTCTCCTCCAACTCATCAACCTTCTTAACTATCATAAGTCCTAAAAAAGGTACTTTGATTCCAATTTGGTAGGAATCCAATCTCCACACCGCAAAAAACAATAATAACGAAGAGAAATCACAACAGAAATCAGCGAGAAAGAATGAGATATCGGCATAACAAACCAAGATACAAGTTGATATACTATTCGAGAGATGGACCGACTCTCCACAAACCCTAAGTGCCTCTATGAACAACTCCAAAGAAAACTACAACAAAACATAATTCACATAATGAAAGTTAAATAACCAAATTAATCCTAAATACACCTTCCTAAATCCCACACAAATCTGAATTAAATCGGCCATCTTTCCTTACATAAACCTTTCTAATTTCCTCCAAAATCTGAATTCAAATCAGCACTGTTTCTCTAAATAAACCTTCCTAATTCCCTCCCAAATTTGAATTCAAATCAGTCCCCATTCCATAAATAAACTTTCCTAATTCCCTCACAATTTTGATTTTCCATGATAAGCAACTAAAGGGAGAATTAATCCTTTTTTAGCCCCCCTTTTTGCTTGCTCATTGCCCATACTAGTGGGGTACACAGGCTCAACTGTTCCATCACACTGATTTGCATTATGAAATACCAAAATAGCATGCCATAAACTAGGAATTACGATATAGAAAATCTGGCGCATTGTTTTTTTTTTTATCTGTATTGTTAGTTATAATTTTTACAATGATCCAGATTTTGAGGTGCTGATTTATCTACACACTGTAAATTTAGTAATATGTAGTTGGAAATACTTTGTGTTATTTTGAACCAGATATAGACCACTTGGAATTGTTTTATCGTAGTTCTTTTTTTCCTTAACTTTTTACAGTGAATTGCACTCCAAAAGGGGAATGCCATATTTATACCCACAAGCTAAGGGCATCTTGCAAGCATTTCAGGATAAAGGAATAGAAATGGCAATTGCTTCACGATCACCCACTGCAGACATAGCTAACACATTCCTTGATCAGCTGGGTATCCAATCTATGTTTGTAGCCAAGGTGATCTCTGCTTTCTTCTGTGAAATTTCATCTTTTGTGTATTCATATACAAGTTAAAGCTACATTCTTTCAATCTAATTATTAAATTTGCTAAGAGATTGTAGAGGTCGCAGTTGTTGTGAAGAATTACTCTCTGAAATAATAAGAGAAAACAAGTAAATGAATTGTAAGAAAAAGTTTGGGGTTATCTCAAACATAGAGATGAACAAATGTGTTTGCATATTGAGTGCATTTGTGATGGCATAGGGCTCTATTAAACTTGATTTAAAATGGATTCTATCAACTCAAAAACTCTCGCTCATCAGAGCGTGTTCTATATTCATTATAATCTATAACAATTTTTTTTTTGCTTGCTATGATAGTTTACATGAATATTCAACTGTGGTGGTTGAGAAAGTTGTATTTGTGTTGGAGATCAAAATCTCATGGATTGGGCACTTCATTTGAAAAATATCTATAAAATGTCAATTTAAGAAGACATTGGCTAACAAAGCAAGAGACGTGCGGTATAAACCTATCGAGAAATACATAAATAAAGTTGTGCATGTGTAGATAGATTGGACCTCAACACCCTTAGATTTGTCATGATAAAGCTAAAGTTCTGTTGTTGATGACATAAGTTAATTCTTAAGGAATTGATATTGAATTATTACTAATTTATATGTCCATTAACATGTACTCATCCCCTGTTCAGAGCATTTGAAGCACTGCTACTTCAAGCCTATAGCTTTCTTAATGTTTTCGTAACTTTCTTAATGTTTTCGTAGTTGGTTAATCCAAGTATCCGAACTTCCATGAATAAGCATAAGTAAACCTAATTCCAATTGTAAACTATCCAGTTGACATAGTTGATCAATTCGAGTAATGTGTCTGAACTACTCTGAATAATGTAAACCACTCTGTGAAGGGTGGCCAGCTCGCTTACTCTCGCCTACTCATGCAACCGAGCACTAAACCTCCTAAAGCAACCTTCTATGATAGGCTTTGTGGTTGGTGTTCTCACGATCGTTTCATATGTAAAATTTTAGGTTTATTTTTTAAAAAAGTTGTTTTCCAATCAGGCTTTTAAACGTACACTTCCAGGAATGATAGAAATTTTAAATACTTATTTGCTTGAGAAAATTTTGATATTTAATAATACCGTTAAGAGCCAGATGGCTTGTATTTTTTTTTTTGCTCAATTTTAGTTTTCCTTATTAGAAACATAAACCCTATAATGAGACTAAACTATATATTTATGGATGGAAAACAACCTTCAGTGGCAGGCAATTCACATATATTGTTGTATACTTATGATAATTTTGCTTAGCGACACTCGCTCGTAAACTGTGAGTGATACTAAAGTGTGGAACATCTGAAGTTGATTTCATTTCCATTATCTCTCCTACTTTTTTTTTTCCTTAAATTAATATGCATGAAACTATTATGCTTGTAGTTCAAGTAAGGCTGCAAAGAAATGGAGCTGAGTTGAGTAGGTGCTTATTCTTATTTAAGCTTGTTGATTATCAACTTGTTCGAGCTCGATTCGAGCTTTTATGTTTGTACTCAAGCTTGGTTCTTTTTAAATGATAGATGTTCAAGTTTGGTTTGTTCTTGGCTCATATTTGATTCATTTAATGTTTATTGAGCTTTAAACAAGAGACATATATAAAATAATAAACAAGCCTTATCGAGTTATTAATGCACTTTACTTTCGAGATGTTAATCAACTTAACAAATGAGCCTTATTGAGCCTAATAAAGAAGAATTATTTCGAGCCTTACCAACCCCATTAAAGAACATATCCAACGAGGTTCTCGATCCTTTAAATGAGCTAGCCTATTGAGTATTTTTGAGCTTCTTAATAAGCTTCATGTCGTTAGAGCATGGACTAAAAAATTTTTATTTAACAATATTATAAATATTTATAATTAATAATACTGAAATTAATTATAAATAATATTAATTTAGTAGATATTTGCGATTTACTCTAATTAATAGATATTGTAATGATATAATTGTTGACTGTTTTATAAAAAAAAAGAAAAAAAAATGAAAAAGAGACGAATAAATTCATCGTTTTAGACAACGTCAAAATAGGAGCAGAGCTCTAGAAACGACACAACTATTCGGCTAATAAAAAGTGTGTTGAAACGGAAGAAAAAAGGTTCTCATGATCTTTCCATTTGAAATCCTAGACGATTGCTTCATTTCTAAATCCTACTCTTATGTGCTTTGCCTACCTCATCCAAATACTTGTCCACATTGATTAGCTCGATCCATTCGCAAAACCACTCGCTGACTACACCCTTCCGTCCTGTGAAGCTTCCTCCACCTGACCCAAGACGAATCTTTGATCAAACTGCCTGTAAGTCAATTGATCTGCTTGTTCAACCCGTTCACAATCCCAAACATCGGATCTTCAACTCATTTGGACCACCCGCCCATAATTTCCACCTCTGACCGCTCCGATTAGGTACCCTCCAATCCTCTCTGATCGTATGTCTGAGAGATCCTCAATGCCCTTTCCAATGTTTGGCCCCTTGTTCATGAACACTCATACTTCCATCCGAAGACCCCAACCTTCGATTGACTTGCCTTCTTCCGACCTGCATTTCTCCTGTGCGGAACCCCCACAGTCGCCCGTATCCCCTGGTTCTGACCCAATCCGTCACCTACCCACACTCCCACCTCCGCCTGTTGCATGAACAGACCGCTCTCTCCCTTCTTTCCATTCCGAACACCCTCTCGTGTGAAATCCTCCTTTAACCCATGCTCCAACATGCAAATTGATGATGTGCGAACCTTTCCTTATACATGAAGGCTTAATCCCACACTAATCATTAATCCTGTCGGTCCAATTAATTGATCGGCGTATAATTAAAATAAAATTTATTTGTTTGTCAATAAAAACAATCAGGAATTTGTCAATTAAAGAAACTATGCCGTTGATCTTAGATTCAGTTAAGACAATTGCAAAGCGAAAACCTCGTGCTGTCGCTTTTAGATCGGGCCGGGAAGAAATCCATTCGAGGCCCTCGCACTGTCAATCATAGATCCGGCCGAGACGATTTCAAACTAAAGACCTTGCATTGCCGATCTTAGATCTGGCTGGGACGATTTTGTATCAAAGACCTCGCGTCTTCAATCTTAAATCTGGCTAGCAAGAAATCAACGGCAACTGCCATCCCAACTTCCCCTTGTGGTGAAGGGATATTGGGAGGTTGCCGAAATCGTTCCAAAAGACTAGTCATTTTTGTTGGTTTAAAAAAAATGAGAGTAATTAATTATCAGTGAATTCAATTAATCAATTAATTAAGGAAATTGGAGAGGAATGATTAATTCATTAATGATGGTTAATTAAATTGAAATTAAATACTAATTAATTAGTTAATTGTATTAATTAATTAATTAGACATTCTAGGAGAGTAATTAATCTTGAATTTAAAATTGATTCAATTGATTAATTGAAACAAAAAATAAAATAAAAAATTGAAATTAAATGTTAAATAATTAAACAATTGAATTTAAAATTAAACTGAAATAATTAATTGAAATTCGAGAGGAGGTAATCCATGACTGCTAATTAGATTTTCTGGACATTACGATCAGCGATCTCTAGTGTTGCTAGACTGAAAGTCTGAAACCTACGATATACCCGGGACGACGTAACCATGAGATCTTGATCAGGTTTACCCCTATTTCCCCTGCAATTGAGACTAAAACATCTAAAATTGTTCATCCTTAATCAAGATTTCTCTTTTATATAGTAAAAGAGGTAATTAACTATGATGGTTTGCGCTCATAGGAAGTAAGGATCCAGATCTAACTAAACTCTGATACTATCCTTAGAGAAAATCTAGTTAACTACAATCTGCCTTAAGGAGAATGAGATCCTATGTCTATAAAGTGAGATTCAGGCTGACGCAACATTTTTTTTAGCCAACAATAATTAGTTTTAAATTTTTATTAAATTTTAATTATTATATTATTAAATTATAATAAGTATAAAACATTTGTATTAGGTTGCTTATCATTTCATAACAAGACTTAATTGAGCGCCATATCAAACATTAATCAAGTTTCTTATCGAGCTTGTTCATGAGCTTTGTATTGAACATAAATTAAGCTTATTTACGAGCTTTAAGCAATATTATTTATAAATATAAATGAGTTGAACAAATAGTTGTTCAAACTTAATTATTTAAGCATCGAATATTTAAAAAGATATTCAAGCTTATGTGATTACTTAATCAAACGATCATTAACGTAATATAATTGAGTTGAGCCACAAGTAGCTTGTTAAATGCTTGGTTTGTTTTTAGCCCTAAGCTCAAACTAGCTCATAGCTGGAGAAGCTGGTATTCAATATTAAAGCATGATTACTTGATATCCTTGTAATCTTGACCTCTCTCTAGATCTTGTGCAAACTATTTCAAGGGATTGTTTAACAATTTAAATATGCGATTGATGTGGTATGATTAAGAAGTACCTAATTTTAATCTCCAAATAACAATTCTAAGCTTTTTTTTTATTAATTTTTCCCTTTAGTCTTAGGTCTTATTCATAAACCTACGGCCTAATAGAGGAAAGGGAAAACTAAGATAGGAAAAAGCAAGAGAATTAAAAATATAGAAAACAATAATAATAAAGAAAGAAAAAGAAATATAAACTACATTAATTTGAAGATTAAAATTAGTCACTTAATTCATCCTGAGTTTTATAATAGTAAAGATAATTCATCTTGAGAGAAGTACTCGAAGTCATCAACTTTAGAAATATTAGAAATGTTCATTATGACAAAAAGTTCAATTTTGTATGCATTATTGCTAATCTTCGATAGTTTATGAAAATAACCAATTCGTTGAGCTTTGAACTTCTTATGTGTCCACAGAAAAACAATTCTTTTAAATATGTAGCATTACCAAATCACATTTTCTGAACAATTTAAGGTACTATTTTTGATCTGCAGCAAACTTGTAATAAGAATTAGCTTAATTAGGGTTTTTCCTTAACTCTTGATGAACTTGGTGAACATGCTTGATAAACTTCTCAGACTTGGAATTGGTCACAGGAGAGGAAGGTAAAAGAATCGAATCCACTGTACGCGTGGGAACACTAGAATAGACAAATTTAAATAGGGTCTTCTTGGTGATTCACCATGCTAGTAAATGCAAACTCTATTTGTGGAAGGGCATCATCCAATTGCTTAGTTATGTCACCTCAAACGAATCAAATCATGTTGTCAAGAATAAGATTAGCCACCCACCTTTATGTGTCCATCCACCTGTGGATGACTTGTATTGTTATATTTCAACAAGGATCAAACAACTTCCACAATGTTTGCCAAAAAAGACTTAGGAACTTGACATCTCAATTCAAAGTAATTGATTGAGGTACTACATGCAAATGAACAATCTCACGTTAGAATGGATGAGCCTTGCTGGTTGCATCCAAAGTCTTCTTACATGAAATGAAGTGCACCGCCTTGAAAAAATGATCAACAATCAAGACAATTGAATTAACATCTCTCTGAGTTCAAGGAAGACTAAAAACAAAATTTATTTTCAAATTTTGTCGTAATGTTTCTGGAATAAGTTGAGGCCAATAAAATCTTTCCTCTACCAAATTGATGGTTTTGTCCTGGCCAACATGTTCATCAAGTCCTCCATCATGCAATTGCCCAATCTGAGTAATTATTTTCTTATAAATGAATAAATAGTATTCCTGTCTTTTGTATGAAATTAATCTTACATTAAATTGATGCAGGAAATCTTTACTAGTCGGACTTTTAAGGCTGATCACTTCAAGGCAATTCATAGGAGGACAGGCATTCCTTTTAACTCCATGCTTTTCTTCGATGATGAGTATGGGAATATTGACACGGTAATTGAAGTGTATCTTTATTTATAATATTCTTTCTTTCTGTTTCATGCATACATTAAAAGAAAATAACTGATTACATGCAAAAGCGTATATAGTAGAAATACACTGCATCATCTCGTCTTTGTATGGAATTTTGATCCAGGGGAAATTGATGTTGCCTGTGCTTTTTGCATTCTGACACAGAAACACTCATACACCTGTGCATACAAAAAAATTGAAAGAACTTGAATAAAAAAAAAGCCGTCATTTTGTAGCAATTATATTGAAAGAGTTATGAAGTTATCTCATTATCACATCAGATCCAAATTTTTGGACACCCAAATAATGTTTATGTCAAAGTGTCATATCTTACTATTCAATTTTGAAATTCACTCATTTTGAAAAACTTTATGATATTTGGTATATTCAATGCTGTTTCCAACATTTTACACTGGAAGTTCTATGCTGGAGATGTCATTTGGCAATATTGCATATGGTATCTGGGTTATCCAAGAACCTGAGAAGTATCAGATCTTTCATAGGTATCCTAACGCTTTAGCTTCCTAGCTTGCAAAGCAAGATCAGCTCTGTTTGAAATTTTGTTTGGATGCCCTGCAATTTTATAGAGTTCTGGAAATAATCTTTTTGCAGTCCAACAGCCTAACCTGTCAGAATTAGAACTGAACTAGCTGATGGCTCATACAATTTTTATTATTTTTCTAAGTATTGCGAATTGAAGAAGGTTCAGATGATTCTAAAATTCAAATTGACGTAGGTCTTTTTTATTTGGTAAGTTGTTCTTGATTTCTAATCATATTATATTTAGTTACTTAAACCAAAATGTTCAAAACTATGAGATGCGAAAAAAAAAAACTTGTGTGATGCTACGAGCTATAAAGCAGGGGCTAGATGTGATACAAATTGCGGGATCTGCTGGCTTGATAAAGATAGTAGATATATATGAGTCTGTAGGTGCATATTCACACACACATATGTGATGCTACAAGGTATAAAACAAGGGCAAGATATAATCCAATCCATGAGATTCATTGGTTAAAAAAATAGTTGACACATACGTGTGTGGATAAAAAAAAAAGTTGACATATACGAGTGTGCTCATGTATGTGTATATATATATATGGCGCTTGTTTATTGGAAAATAAGTAAAAATATGTAAAAAAATTAAATTTCTATTAGATTAATCAATTGGTTATACTTGTACACATGCGCTATTTCTTATTTATCTACATATTAATGATCTAGTATATTCTGAAATTCTAAAATAGCACTGATGCTTCGAATATGTTATTGAACTATTATATTATATTTGATTGGGCGCTTGGACTATTCAAGTATATCCAAGCATCCAAATGACGTAAATGCTGATGTAGAACCTGCATAGAACTGTTATAAGTATCCTTTTTTTATAGGTTGTTAGATTGTGACAGCTTGGTTATATAATTACAATATCCTTATGCTTCATTCTTCGCTAAAAAGCATTTTTTGGAAAAAATGGTATGCACTCCGATGATTCTGAAAGTGCCTATACTCATCAAAATCTAATGAAAACCAACAGGAGGGTGTGACAGTAGCGGGCTTGCTTATATTGATTTTTTAAGTTGATTTTAAAAGGGTCTTGGGGACCCGCAAGTGGGCCTTTGCTAATGTGGTTGTCTACAGTTGGATGTGGTAGCTGGGGTCCAATCAGCTGGCTTGTCCTTAACCTCTTGCATGGGCGATGAAAGACCTCCCGCATCCTTTTTTTGGCCAGTATTATCGCTGCCCAACAAGGTTCCTTGGACTACTCAAGCATAACCAAGCACCCAAATGAGGCAGTTGCTGATTTGAAACCTTCTTAGAATCAGGGGTGGAACCGGCCTTAATATTCAGAGGAGGCAAACTTATAAGTAACTATTTGGGTTACCTAGAATTTGGCTCTACCCTTCACTACAAGAAAATGATTCAATAGCGACCCCTATTTGTTCATATCCTTGATCGTCATATGCTTTGCAGATATATCGGGGGTCCAAGGGGACATCGCCACCTGACGAGGTTCGACCTTCGAGGTTTTCCGGGGGTAGTGCCCTAGAACAAATTTTGGTTCTTAGGATATTTTTGGAATTCAAATGAATAAATAAAATGATAAATTATATTTACTATTTTCTGCGGCCAATTGTTTAAAGACCATAGTATTTTAAAATTTTTAGGGGGGCAATTGCCTAAAAAACCTTGTAATAAAGACTAAAAAATAGATGAAAATATTTATTTTTTTAGAAGGGGCAATTGCCCGCCCTCCTGACTTAAAGGGGTTCCGCCTGATGTAGAACAGACATGCACTGATGATTGGATTAAGGAAGTTAGCACGCTTAAATTTTAAAGCACAATAGTTATAAGCTTCATCTTGATGATAAACGACAACATAAAAATAATAAGGTGATAAAATAGCTTAGGTCTAAACACATGCGAGGGGTTGAGATCATTAAATAGTCAACTCAATCTTACTTTGCATACATGAGTGGTTTCAACAAGAAATTCCAATATTAACAATAAGATTTAGGCTATGAAAGATCCCTCACACTACTCTTCCAATTACTAGGCTTTAGCGGCGAGTGATTGACATGATCTTTATGAATCCATTAATAACCATAAACGAAAAGTAAACTAGGAAGATAAGAGCATTAGGGAAAGAGTTTCACCCAAGGAATGAGGTAATACAAGGTTCCGGTGGTGCTTTGTTGGTTGGATCGGAAGTAGGTGGGGCTTGACAGCTTCTTGGATGACTTGGACAACCACAATCCACAAACACCTTCTTGTTCAGCGAGTCTTCAACATGGGAGAACGATTCCCAGTCGTCGGGCCATTGATGGTTGCTCCCGGAGTAGCTGGGGCAGCAGCAAACTGCTGCTGGAATCTCTGGACAGCTGCTGTGACCTCAGGGACAGCAGTTTGTTTTGTAGAAGACTTGGGAAACCACTTGGAAGACTTGGGAAATTCCTGGGCAGCAGTTGGGCGGCCTTCCTGGACCCTTTCCTTGCTGATTTTGACTTTCCTGGACTGGTGACAGCAGCCCGGATTTGTCCACTCAGCTGGGTAGTAGATTGCAAGAGAGCAGCCAGTGATTTGGGAGAGGGAGGTTTAGCCGTGAGCTAGAGGGAGAGGGAATACTTTAGAGAACTGAAATAAATTTCAGATTCAAGTGGTTTTGGAGGGAGTAATTTGGAATTTGAATCCCAAACTTTGATTGCACTTAATCCCTTAATGGAAAGAATTAATGGGGGAAGCCAATATGGGGGCCGGCGGTTTCATTAGAGGAGGGAAGGAGGTTTTAAACTCAAATTCTGAAATTAATTTCAGAATTTGAGTTTAAAACCTCCTTCCCTCCTCTAATGAAACCGCCGGCCCCCATATTGG